GCTGCCCCTTGGAGAGGGCTGTGCCCCTCGCCCCTGCCCCGGCCTCCAGGACCAGGCAGTGTCACGCGGCCCCGGCTGGCTTCAGTCTTGTTTCCCACAGTCAAGGCCTGTGTGTCCTCTGTGGTTGGGACGTGACACTGTTCCCTTGAAGGCACTGGTCCGTACAGCTCGGGGGCCCGAGCCCGTGCTGGGCCGAGCTGTCGGTCAGTGCTGGGACCTGTCTGGTGGCCGGAAGCCGGGCCTGAGAAGCAGGGCGCAGAGCGGGCAGCTGTGGGCAGCAGCGCCTCCCCCGACCGATAGGTGTGCTGTCCATTCAGCCCGGGCTTCAGGCAGGGAACCCCTCAGGCAGCCTGGGCGGGAGTCACCAAAGGCTTTGGACGCTAGGAGAGAGGCGTCATGATGCCCAGACACCTGTGCGCGCCCGCGGCTGTGCTCAGGGGCGGGGGCCAGGTGGGCAAGCGCAGGGTCAGGAGGCCGAGGCGTGGATGAGCCACAGCTCCCACCTCTCAACTGGTGAGCGATGCCGCGGCCGTCGGTCCCTCTCTGGGAACAGCTGAAAGCTATCTTGCAAAACGGAGGTTGTTTCCATCCTGCTCATTGTTCCTTCCTTCATTCATTCCTGCCTCTGACCCTTCCTCTCAAACCTCTGTGCACAGCTGGCCCTGACGCGGAGCGAAGCGCAGGTCCCTGGGTCACACGTGGACAGGGGCTGAGTGGGCTGTGAACTGGCACAAGGCTCACCTGCGCTCAAATCGGGACAGACACCTGGCCGCATAGCCTCCGGCTCCCCACCTACCAGAGGGGGTGTAAATGGTCGGTGCCCAGAACATGGCTGCTACTCCGGGTACCCTCCGTCCTCTTATCTGATCGTCACAATGAGCCCAGGAGGAGTGTAGGGAAGAACGGAGGGCTGGTGAGTCCACAAGCCCCCCCGAAATCTCCTTGGTGTGATCAGCCTCCTGACACCCATTCAGATGGGCACATCCGAAGCTACACACCCCCCCCCCCCCCCGCCGTGCCTTTTCCTAGAGACTTTTCCACCAGATGTAGGGGCCTCCTCCTCCCAGCACTCGCGGGGAGGAGTGAGTATGTATTTGGTGGCGAATTTACTTGTGCGCAGAGAGCTTCCTCCACCGTCTGGAAGTTCCCCGGGAGAGACCTCACCTGTTTGTTCGGTGCCGGGGCCCTCAGCTCCGTCTCCAGACCCCCCACGTGGCGGCCCTGCTGCCTCCGCCCTTCCCGCCATCGGAAGAGTCTCCCCGGCTGGGCAGCCCGAGAACACGCCTCTTCGACGGCCTTGTGCTGCCTTGACGTCCACTGTTTTGAAAACCACTGTTTTATATATTTAGTGCATTTATTTTTTGGTTGTTTTGCGGGGAGGGGTCAAAATGCGGCCTCTGTTCCTTCTCGCTGCTGGAAGCCGAAGCCACGGACACAAGCTTCTAGTGACGCGCGTTTCGGTTCAAGGAAAGCAGCGTCTGACCACGCGAACTGAGCCGGCTCGTTCCAGGGGCTCTGTGGTGCCGGTCCCGTCATCTGTGTGGCGTCAGGAGTGTTTAATGAACACAGCAGACAAAGCCTCCTTGAGTCCCAGGAGAGAGAGCGTTGTGACCCCTGAGAGGTCTTGTCGGCTCCTGCCTTTCTGTCCTGTTTGCAGAAGCGTGGCCGGGAGCTGGGGACAGTGACAGAGGAGGCCGAGCTTGGGCAGCCTCGGGTCTGGGACTTCGCACTCTGGCTGCCCAGCCGTCCTCGCTGACCTCCTGCCTCTCACGGGCACCGCAAGAACCTCTTGAACCTCAGCACCTATGGCTTCCTCCCCTCAGCTAAGAATGACCTTCACCTTGCACATCAGCCTGTCTCCTGTCCTCCCAGAGTCTGCTGGCTCCTGGAGCGAGGCAGGCGGGTCTCGGCGCCCTCTGCAGGGATCCGTGGGCAGGCAGCTGGCAGCAGACCTGGGACGGGCAGTTAGCATCCAATTCATCTGTGCACCCCTGGCTCCCAGCGCAGTGCCGGGCACAGAGGGTGCGCGGTAAAGTTTTGGTGGATGGGTGAAGGAACAAATGCATGAGCACCTTCGTGATGCTGTCTTCTAGAACATGACCCATCAGCCTGTCCCTGTGGGGTAAGCTGTCATAACACATCTGGAAAGATGGGCTGGCCGTGCCCAGTGGGAAGGAAGTCCAGGAAGGGGCAGACCTGGCCTGCAGCCCAGGGACCGGGGTCCCACCCTGCCCCCTGGGAAAGCTACTTGATCCTAAAGCCCAGTGTGTATTCTCTGTTCTGACATGACCCCTCCTACGGTTTTTCCAGCTCCGACATCCCCTGAATTTTGCTTAAAAGTGACTCGAGCAAGAGTAAGGATGCATTCTTTGAACACTGCAGCTGTTTTCTGGGCAAAATACCAACCTGTGCCTAGGACCGCTTCGCAGAGTACCCCCTCTTTCATCTGCTCGCTCTTTTGCTTTGGGTAGTTCTCACACATCTGTGCTGAGCCGTCCGCTGCTGAGGGACCCCATGCAGAAAGACGCTCTCGAACAAGTCCCTGGCTTGAGATCGCAGCTGTGTTTGGACAAAGTAAGCAAAAGAGGAAAGTCCTACCTCATTGAGAGCGACTGTGAAGAACAGAGGCGCTCTGAAATTTAGTGTTGAATTCCAGGTGAGGTTTGGCATCAACCCTTCTGTGTTGATGGAGTTTCTCGACAGAGATGCTGGTGGCATTTTTCAGGGGACAGTTCTACCTTGTGTGGGACTGTCCATAGCTTGGCTGGGTTCATTGTGGCTACCAAAGCCAACACCCCCATATTTCCAAGTGCCCACTGGAGGGGCGCACCCGGGCTGAGACCAGAGTGTTGGAGAACAGGTGGGCCATTGGCAGGCAGGTGTGCGGGCTTACAGCCTGGTGCAGAACTGACGGGAACCCAAGCCGGTTCCCTTTGCCGTCAACACACGGAGGCAAACGCTTTGGGTTCAGCCTGTGTATCTGGTCGCATCTCTGACTCTCCAGCGATGACCACCGCTGCCAGGATCTGCTCTGAGTCACCCTGCGAAGACTCAGCCGAGCCAGGGACACCCCAAAATGAGGAATCGGGGAAAGGACTTGGTGTTTGATATTCCACAAAAAAAGCACAGAAGCAGCTCATGATGGGGAACTGAGACTCTGCCTGGATCCCCTCTCCTGTATTTCAGTGTATCCCTGCTTTGAATTCTGTGTCCTACGGCTTTTCGGTGTTGGGGTTTCTAGGGCTGTCAGCCTGGCTGAGAGCAGCGTGTGGTTTGGCGACATCCTGTCCCCGCCATTCTTCAGGAGCATTTCTGAGTCGGCGTGGTCTCTCTGAGGAGCTGAGGTCCACCCTGGGCACCTTGCATTAACGGGGTTTTAGCACCTGTTGCCTGGGAGACACGCTGGCTTCCTGGAGCTCCTAATTGGGCCAGCGATGCCCCTTGATAGCAGTTCGGACCTGGGACCCCCCAACCCCTTGCGCCTGTTCCTCGCGGACACGGCAGCCCCTCAGGAAGTTGATCACGCACCTTAGGACCCAGGGAGCCCAGCCCTCGGTGTTTACCCAGGAAGAACATGAACGTGTGTAACGCCAAGACTTATAGGTGAATGTTTGTAGCAGCTGTATTCACAAAAGCCAAGACCTGCACACAGCCCAGCGGCCCATCAGGAACAATCAACAGACTGAGGCATGTTCATAACGGAGAACAAAGGGGGGGCACTGAACACGCAACACGCGGGCGGACGAATCCCAGAACCACTTGGCTAAACAAAGAAAGAAAATAATATACTTATACAGAAAGCAGAAGCGTGGCGCCTCCAGGGTGGGGGTTGACTAGAAAGGGGCTGGGAAGCTTCTGGGGGTGAGGGAAGCATGGTGCCCGACGGAGGTGCCCCGATGTGTAAATTACCGTGAGTATGAAAACGGCAGCAGCAACAATGATAAAGCCGCCCACGGTCACTATTCCCACGTGCTGGTGGGCCCCACGAGGTGCCGTTATTAAGTGGACGGAGTCCAGGGCACAGTTTTGATACCTTTGTACATTCATGTCTAGAATTTAATTCCCAAAGCTGCCAGTAGAGTCTGCATGTCTGTCCATTCATCCATCTCCTTCCTTCCCTCAACACGCTCACCCTTCCCTGCTCGCTCGCCCGCCCTCCCTCCCTCCCTCCCTCTCTCCCTCCCTCCCTCTCTCTCTCCCTCTCCCTCCCTCCCTCTCTCTCTCTCTCTCTCTCTCTCCCTCCCTCCCTCTCTCTCTCTCTCCCTCCTTTTGCAGTTCCTGGTGCCTCTTCCCAGTTGGGCCAGGGTCTTCCAGGGCCTTCGGAATGCGGCAGCCTTTCTCAGAGAAGAGGGGACCTGCTTTGTTTCCAGACTTCTCTGCCCCTGTGCTGAGGTCCACCCCACACAGCCCGTGCTGAGGGGGGACAGGTTCTCCCCGAGGACCTTGTGGGTTGAGTGAGGACAGGGGGCCCTGTAGCACCCGGTGTCGGATGCTTTGTCAATCACAGACTTCTCCAGATGTTGGCCGCCCCGTGCAAGCTGAGACAGCTGCAGGTGCCCACCGCGTGGGCCCAGTCCAAGACGGGGCGCGCTTGTCCCTCAGGAGATGAGTGAGGAACTGACGTGGACGAACCTCCCTTTCTCTCCTTCCTCCCCCGTGTCCCCATGAGCCCTGCTTCCCACCCCCACCTGCAGAGGAAGCGGATTTAATGCCTCAACTGAGAGAATGAGATGTTCTGTTATTTTTCATGGGAAATTAAACCTGACCCTGCTGTCAGTTAGCTCCTGCCCGGAGGATGGATGGCCGGCGTGGTGCTTCCCCCCTGCTGGGAGCGTGCTGCCTGGCGGGGGGCCAGCCATGATGTCACCTGCTGCCGGGTGGGGGTGGGGACGGCAGGACAGTCCGAGAGCCTTCATCTGGGTGATGGATGGCAGGGAGGCCACCCTTGCTGTCCCCCGGGATGGTCCCCCCGGTGCACTCAGGCCGCTCCTGTCTTTCAGCCCCCAGCTCCACCTCGTGCCCCGCGGAGGAGAGCTGGTGGTCGGGGCTGGCGATCGTCATCGCGGTATGCTGTGCCTCCCTGGTGTTTCTCGCCGTGCTCGTCATCATTTGTTACAAAGCCATCAAGAGGTGAGTGTCTGCTGGCTTCGAGCCCCGAGGGGACCCCAGCGGGGCTCGGGGCCCCTCCAGCCACCCCCACTGGGGTTTTTTCATTATAAAAATTGTTAAGCATTTAAGAAGCAGAAAGAAAGACTGTACTGTGAACCTTCACCCTGATTCAACAGTTATCAAGATCTGGCCAATATTTCCTACATTGCTTTTCCTTTTCCTTTCATCTTTTCATCTGCTGAAACATTTTAAACATTTTAAAGCTGACCTCAGGCCTGGTGGCCCGCCATTTTTAGGGCATTCAGCTCAGGAAGCGTTTGATGAGCACGGATTGTAGGTCAGGCTCAGTGCAGCAGAAAGCGACCCTTCCTGTAAGTCACAGGCCCCCCCGTCGGGGGCTCACTCGGAGCCTCAGAGTATAGACATACTCCTTGCAGGGTCGGCTGGTGGGAGGCACCCTGCTGGTCTGCAGTGGGGACTGGGCGTTGGAGTCAGATCAAAATTCAGACTCTAGTTCAAGCTGCGTTACCAGGAGGGAATCACTTTACCGCTCTGGCCTTCGGTGTCCTTATCTGTCAAAGGGGGGAAGAATAGCAGCCTCATGCTGTCCTGAGGCGGGGTGAGGTGCCTGCTGTAAATGGTATGCACTGTATGCACTGTTTCACGCTCTGCAGAGCTCGTTACACACTAAGTGCTCCCAAGTGCTGCACAGCTTCCATGGTTTCCGTAGTTGCAGGTAGAGGGAGGAGGATGGCAGGAGGGAGAAGAGTGAGGGTGCGATGCCTCAGAGAAGGTTTCCAGTGAAGGTGACACCCAAGTTGGGTTTTGAAGGATGAATAGGAGTGTTCCAGTGGGGTCACGAATGATCCAAACAGCAAACTGTCTTTCACTAACACTCACGGTCATTTCTGTAGCCATCTCATTTTGCCTTTCAAAAGAGGTTGCAAGGCACCAGCTCCCAGCTGGGTTTGGGTTTGCTGTACAGTGCGGCTGTGGTTGAGGTCTGAGGAGGTTTGGGCTGTGTCCGGCCCGAAGTGTGGCAGGGTAGGCCTGGGGTTACAGTGTAGCAGCCCTGCCAAGTCCTTTGAGAAGACTGGGCAGTCATCAAGCCTCCAAAACGGCTCCCCAGGATCTTGGGGGAAGCTAGAATCAAAAGACGGAGAAATGTTGGGAAACACCGAAGGGCAATGGAACGGTCAGTGTACTTCTAGGAATGTTTTTAAAAATGCCCTACAGCCCTGGCCAGTTTGGCTCAGCGGTTAGAGCGTCGGCCTGCGGTCCGGAGAGACCCGGGTTCGGTTCCCGCTAAGGGCACGTACTTCGGTTGCAGTTTGTCCCCGGCCCTGGTTGGTCGTGCGGGTGGCAGCCACTCGATGTGTCCCTTCACGTCGATGTTTCTCTCTCTCTCTCCTTCCTCTCTCTCCCTCTCACTCTATCTGTACAAAAAATGGAAAAATATCCTTGGGTGAGGATAAAAAAAAAAAAAAAAGATAAAAATGCCCTACAGCCCAAAGTTAGAGGATCTACATTAAGAACAAACATAACACCTAAAATATTTGACTTTACCCTTTTAATCAACTGTTCTATGTGATTTCACTTTAATAATCCAAGGCAGAAAGAGTCAAATATCAAGTTAAAGTCTTAAACAAAGACCCGGTAAGGCACACGGTGAAGGGACATGGGACATGTCGGGCCAACAGCCTAGGAGTTTGCTGGGGGCTGGGCCCCGGTGACACAGCTGTGAGGCAGGCCCTGCCCTGGGCATCTGCCTCCCAGCCAGACCCCTCTGTCCCCAGCACTCATGCTGGGAGGCACCCTCCCAAAACGACAGCAGATAAGTGACAAGGGACTAACCCGAGCCGCACTCTGGGCTCCTCCCTCCATCATGACCCCTCTCTCAGTCCATCTCGCTGCACCTTTTCCCAGGCCCATTTTACAGAGCAGGAAACTGAGGTCAAAGGTGTTAAAGGAACTGCCCCAGATGGCACCACCAGGGGTGGTGGAGTCGGAACTTGCGCCCAGCACCACAAAGCAGTGTTACTGATGAGTTACCCTCTGGTGCTGGGCGGAGAGCAGACCTCGCTCTCCCTGTCCGCCCTTCCTCGGGGGGTCCGGGAAAGGGGTGTGGTGGGGTGTCTGTGCCAGGACAACAGATGGACAGAAAGGCCCAAAGGCCCTGTCATCCAGGGACACCCCAGGCCTCGGAAATCAAGGTGGGTGGGTCGGAGTCTCCCCGGGGATGTGTTCTGTGGGCGCCTACTGTGTGTACAGGCCCTGCAGGTACAGAGACAGAGGAAACCCAGGCGGTGCCCACGGTCTGCCCTCCTGACCTCAGGTTGGCGGGGCGGGTGTTGCATGACGGTCAGGAGGCCGGCGGCGGTGAGGCTGCAGCACGTCCCCAGCAGCCTGCTGTGGGTGCCCAGAGGTGTCAGTTAACTGACCAGGACCTACCACATGTGAGCTGACAGCTGCTGCCTTGGGACCAGGATTTGAAGAAATGGAGCAGGGGAGGCGCTCCTGGCAAAGGCACTCATACGAGCAAAAGCACCGGGGTACCAGGAAGCCCTGTGACAGGGACATGAGGCTGGAGGTTAGCTGTGAGCCAGACAGGGAGGCGTGGCCCCACCAGGCTGAGCAGCTTGCCTGGGACTCAGCGGGTGCGGGAGCCATGGCAGGGCTTTGAGGAAGAGTGTGCAAGACCCACTGGGGAACCGCCAGGGATGGGGCCCTAGTCCCGTCAGGGGCCCCTCCCCCGCCCCTCCCCTCAGACAGGCAGCAGCATCTTTTTAATAAGCCCGGGCTCTTCCAAAAGATACACACAGTCGCTTCCGCCTCCCTCTGCCCGAACTTCTGAAGAAGCATGCTGCTTCGACGGGAGGCCGGGGGCGGCTCCCATGGCTGACTGGCAGCGCAGGGCTGCGCGTCTCCCAGGAAGACATGTGGGGGCCTGTCTTCTTCCTCGGGCTCTAAGCTCTTGATCCCAGGGTCTGCCAGCAGCCTGGAACTCACCCCAGATGGCACAGTTGATCCCTTCCCGGGGTGTGGGCGCGGCTCCCTCAGGAGTGTGGGCAAGACTCTAATCCAGGGAGCCAATGGAGCTGGCGAAGCGTCCATGACCAGCGGCAGTGGGCGCCGTTAGCAAGGGAAGGTGCCACGTGAACCTGGAGAGCTGAGCGACTCCCGAGAGACCCATCATGGCGAGCTGTGGTTGAACTACCAGAGATGCAGCCCCCAAACTGGAAGTGAGGGGGAGGAGATGCCCAGACCTCTCCCCAGGCTCTCTGGTCTCCCGAGGGTGACTCCCATCAGCAAACCCGAGAAACAGGATCCCAGGAGGTGTGGTCACAGGCGTCAGCATCCAGGGCAGGGGTTGGGTGGGGTGATGAATGGAGACTGCATCACAGTCCCTTTTCAGCTCCAACACCACGATCTGCACCTTCTTCTGGGCAAGACCTGGGGACATGGGAGTAAGACCAGCCCCTGCCCAAGACCCTCATAGTCCAGAAGGGCAGATATTCGGGGCGCTGTGTTCACGGTCCAGTGGAGGCAGAAATAGAGGCTGGTGCTCCCCACCCCCCCGGAGGGAGGCGCGGAGTTCCCCAGGAGTTCCCCAGGGTGCGGAGAGGAGGGACCCTCGCTGCTCCGGGCTGACCTCTGCTGGGGGCTGTAAGAGACGCTCCCGCAAGCCCACTGCGTGTCCGCATCTCTCCAGGGCAAACGGAGGATTTCTTGTTCACAGTCGATTCTTTTTGGTTAATAATTTATCTGAAACATGCCTTTTCTCTCAGGAAACAAAAGCATTTCGTGTCACTGTAAAACCAATAAAAGGATAATTCAGTGATAAACCCTGCTTTAAAAAAAAACTCCCACAGCTTGGAGTCCTAGGACAGGGACCAGAGACCTTTGTGAATGGCTCCTGCACAGCCTTCTGGAGCCAGATTGCTGGGAGGATGGTTCTAGAATCGCCTGGGGTAGGGAGGTGATGCTGGAGATGCCAGCCTGCCTTGGCACCTGGGGTGTGAGCCAGGGGCCACAGGCGTCTGCAGGGTCTGGAGGAGACCGAGGTGCAGATGTTGAAGGAGCACCCCGGTGACCTCACTGGGCACTGACCTTGGCGGAGGGAGCGCGTCCCACACACACACGCAGCGAATCAAACTTCATCTTGTTCCTCAACAACCGTTTCCGATGTGCCAACTCCGTGCTGGCACTGAGGGGGGGGAGCCCAGAGGAGGGGCCCCCCGAGACCTGGGGCCTGAGAGGTTTCTCGGAAGCGGGTGGATGTTAGTCAGGCCAGGGGCTCAGAAGGGGTGCTGCTCACAGTGAGACGAGCACATGCGACGGCCCCCGAGTCCCCTGTCCACTACCACAGCCAGAGGGAGGGAGCCTGCCGTCTGTGGACGCTAGAGGGTGAGGCCACCAGCCACCCCCGCATGCAGAGAAGAGCCCAGTGTCGTGAAGAGGTGACACCCACCCTGCAGGCTCCCTCCCTTGAGCCACCCCCATAGCCCAGGCTCAGGAAGAACGCCTGGGCTCCAGTGGCCACCCATGGCACGGGTCCGTCACCTTCTGCCATCGATTGGCCATTCAGCCGCTTGACAGCCATCCCCTTGTCATTGACAGTGTTGGCTAAAAGGCCGACAGAGGCTGCACAGCAGTCTGGCCCGTCCTGCAGACCACCAGTTGCAGACAAGAGGCAAGTGTGCAGCTCCCTGGGCGTGATGAGCGCAGGTGCGCGTGCCTGAGTGTGCCGAGCACGCGCGTCATTGCGGGGCTCTCGTGCTCACAGGCCTCGTGTGGGGCCACTTCTAGCAGAACGGGCACGTGAATGCCCAAGTCCCTTGGATGGTACCCTGGAACCACGGGCTGCCCCAGGGCTCCGCAGTGAGTCAGTGCTGGGCCACAGATGTGTACTGAGCACCTACTGTGTGCTGGGGACTAGACTAGGTGCCAGGATGCAGAGATAAACAAGGCTGAGTCCCTGCCCGCTCCCACCACCCCACCCCCAATGGAGGAAGAAGATCTCTCACACACACACACACACACACACACACAGCATATTAATAAATAAGGTTTTAAAAAACTATGAGTGCTGTGAGGGAGGTAAACTCGGAGGAATGGGGAGAGGAAGCGGGGGTGGAAGAGGACTGACTTGGCCCACCCAGAGTCCGAGTGCCGCCTGCCTCTGGAGCAGGCTTTACGGTTAGCGAGAATGGTTAGGGCTTCGTACACCCACGGCCACCTTTTTTTTAAAAAATATTTTTTCTTTATAGATTTTAGAGAGAGAAAAAGGGAGAGGGAGAGAGAGAGATAGAAACATCAATTGGCTGCCTCCTGCATGCCCCCCACTGGGGATCTGGCCCACAACCTGGTCATGTGCCCTGACCTGGAATCGAACCGGCGACCTCTGGGTGCGTGGGTCGACGCTCAACCACTGAGCCACACGGGCCGGGCTCACCTTTTAATTTCACATACTCTTTCGTGGGGCACAGGAGACAGAGCGAGTAAGCCGGCAGCCCTCCCTTCTCAGACTCAAGCTTCTTTTTGCCTCCAGCTTCCCCAGAAGAGCAGCAGGCTGAAGGTGGGCCCTGTCACATCGATGTCAGCAGGGCCCAAGAGGGGCACCTGGGTCCTGGCCCTCCCTGCCCAGCCCAGAGGTGCTGGTGGGGCAGCTTCCGCAGAGACCGGGGCTGCTGGCCTTGGCGGTGGGCGCTGCCAGCGCCGCGCTCCAGGGGGACCGCCCGCTGCTTGCCCGCCCAGGACTGCGGGAACGGAAGCACCTGCCCTCTGGACGTGGCCGAGGGAAAGCTCACTGCCCTTTCTCTCGTTTTTAGGAACCATGCCGTGTAGGGAGCTGTCTGTGGCCCTCTCTGCCTGCAGCAGGGTGGCCATGCCTCTCTGTGGGTTATCGGGACCAGCCCTGGCTGGCTCCCAGCGCCACCGAGCCAGCCGGGCCTGGCATTTCTGGAGCCCCGCGGGGCGCACCTTAGGTAGGAAGTCTGTGCGGACAGAGGGCACGGCTGCTTCCCACCAGCGGAGCAGCAGCCCACTGACCCTTTGCAGCAGCAGCCCTGAGAGCTAACACACTTACGGAGCACTCACTGTAGGCCAGAGGCTCCCCCAGGTGCCTAACACACATTAACGTGTTTAATCCTCCCGACGGGCCTATGAAACGGGCTCCATCATTGTGCCCATTTTATAGACCAGGAAACTGAGGCTAAAGAGGTTAACTGGCTTGCCCTGGAAGGACACAGTGGGAGTTTGGAGGCAGAGCCTTCTGCTATAGGAACAACGCCAGCGTCCACTGGGCTCCAGTGAGTCCCAGAAGACCTCAGGAGTGGGTTGGGCAGCAGCCCTGGGAGCAGGGTGGCTGGGCTGAGCTCGGTGGAGGAGACGAGCAGACCAAGTTCACAAGGCCCTGAGCAGCCACCCTCTCCCTCCAAGCTCGGGCTCTGGAATGCCCTGCAGGGCCTGCGCCAGCCAAAGGTGCCCTCTTTGCTGGGTGCAGCTTCTGCTCAGACCCCCTTCATCCTTCCTGGCCTGGGAGGCTGGCTGAGCCTTTGAGAAGGCCTGGGGCTGCCTCCTGTCCCTGTGCCCCTCCCACAGGCCTGCCTCCCGCCAGGCCTCTGAGCTACCCTTCCCCCCGAGGCCCTGGAGATGCAGGAGTGTCCAGGCCGCAGCCTGGCTTCAGAATCTTCTCGGGCAGAAGTAATTCTGCTGTTTCCCACCCTCATCTAAAGAGGGCTGAACTCTGCCCCCAGGCTTCGCCCATGCTCGAGGGAGTTCCAGACCCTTCTTTATGCCCTCATTATCCACCCTCCATGGCCCTAGCCTTCTCTCCCCTGACCGGGACCTGCTGCGGATTTCTCAGCTCAAGACTGAACATTTGTGAGGGAGAAAAGCATTGTGGGTTTGGGCCCAGAGAGGTTGTCTGTTACTATTTCCTAGAATCCTGATTCTGATGTCCATTGTCCCTCTTACATATTGATGATGTATTGAGGAATTCCCTTAAGTGGAATCCCTCCTCGTGGGGGCCACGCGAGGTCTCACTGGAGGAACATGACTGTCCCCCCTTCCCAGACCATGCAAACTCACTGATTCAGAAACCAAGCCCCCCCAGCCAAGTCGGAGCTGCCTGAGGCCCCTGGAAAGGCGTGTGGGGGCGGGAGGAGGGACGAAGGGGACAGAGAGGAGAAGGCCCGGGGGCAGAGGTTTGCTCAGACCCTGTGATTTCCATGAGCCCATTGCCGAAAAGCAACTCTCCTGAGCCCTAAAAACCTGGGGGTTCCAGAAAACGTCTGCAGCATCTATCTAGCTACATAACGTGGGGTCCTCAGACCCCAGGACATGGGACGTGCTGGGTTAAAGAAGATGACACGTGCTTCTGGGGGACTCTGAGAACCGGAGTCTCCAGGAGGGGGGAGAAGGCCTCCCCAAGCTGACCGGACCAGCGCCCCCTTGCGGGCCAGTGCCTGCTGGGAATGCGGATTTAACAGACAGACGTCTGGACCGGGGCTCAGCGGCAGTGGGTGGTGGTCCAGGCCCCACAAACCAGCTGGGGACCGTGGGCAGGTCCCAGCCCCCTAAGCCTCAGTTTCCCCGGGAAATGAAACTCCACTCCTGGCCTGCTTCTTCCGGGCACTGTTGTGAGGGAGGACCAGGACTGGGCCGCCGGGGGCTCTGCGCGGGCAGGACACTCTCACTGTCCTGGAAGCCACAGCGGCCGGCCTGACGCCCAGGCTGAGCGCACTTGGGTTTTTTTGTGTGTTTTGTGAGCTGATTCTGCTGCGCGAGAGGAGGAGCAGTTGACATATTTGATCTCGGGGTGCTGTCTGAGCAGGCCTGATAACCACACCCCATGATTCCCGCCTCCCAGACCCTCTCCCTGGACTGGGTCACGGGGGGCTTCATCCGTAGGCGTCACACTAGTCACCAAGTCCGAGTCCTCATGCTGGGTGTGGGGAGGCTCCAGACCGTTGAGAAGGCGGATGCAGTTGTCCCTGGCCTTTTGACGACGACATAAACGTTCAGTTTAGACAACTCACCTGAAAGGCCAGTTCAGGCTCCGCCCCCGCGTCACTGGGGACGCAGGGGTCTGGGCCTCGGTCTGCCCAGGAGCCAGGATTGTGGTCCCGAGAGGGCAGGTGTGGCCTAGACCAGGAGGCCGTAGCCTCAGGCCCTGGGCCGCGGCCAGACCCCTCCTGCCGCTCAAGACGGGAGATGAGCACCGAACCGGAAGGTACCGCTGGGACCCCCAACCTCAGCCCGGAGCCTGGCGAGGTGAGGGGGCACCCCGTGATCATGCCGCTGTCCGCCCTCCCAGGAAACCCCTGAGGAAGGAGGAGAACGGCACCGGCGGGGCCGAGTACCCCATGTCCGCGCGGAGCCGCAAAGGCGTGGACGTGAACAGCGCGGTGGTGTGAGCCTGCCGGCCGCTGGCGGAGGGAACCTCGGTGGCACCGCTGGACGCGAGCTGACACTGCGCTTGTCCCGGACTTCATTGCCCTGCCGGCCTTGAGCCCCCAAAGGAGAAGCCGTCCTCTTTGCAGCCGCGCCCCTAGCAGGGGCGCAGCCCCAGGTGAGCCTCGCCTGCCTGCAGCCCCCGGCTGGCGCCACCGCCCGGCTCCGGCCTCTGTCCCGTGTGACCCGCCGCCTCCCAGCTACGTCTAAAGCAGCTTTGTGGCCGGCAGAGGGTCTGTCGTCTGCCGAGTGGAGGGAGGCTCCCCCTTTAGCCCAAACAAAGGCAATCCAGAGGCCACTCGCCTGCCAGAGCCGCCCCAGCCCCGCCAGGAAGCCTGCCTGCTGCTCCGTTGACCGTGTCCTGACCGTGTCCTTCCAACAGAAGCCATCGGCACAGCCCTGAGACGTCCCCTTTCTAAGGTGCTGCCCACACACCTGTCTGTTGCCCCATCTGCTGTCGTCTTCCGTCTTCAGGGCCTGCCTTCTCCCGCCTGTCCCCACCGACGCCCCGGGCCCCCGGATCCTGCCTGACTCCCGACTCCCTGCCGCGGAGCCTGAGCCCCGCTTGCAAGTCCCCTCCTGACTGAGCACACGAAGGGGCTCGTTTACACCCAGGGTAGCAGCTGGCCTCCCAGGGGCAGGCTGACTCGCTGAAGCCTAGGCCCAGGGCCCAGGAAGGACAGAGCCACACCTGTTCCCAGAAGCATCGCACACCTGGCCCTCGTAGGAATGATGCCCCCGTGTGAGCCAGGCCCTGCCTGCATCTGGCAGAGGCCACCACTGTGCCAAACCCACTGTGGGCACTCTGGGCTGGGCCAACCCGGCCTGGTGCCAGTCCCCCCTGCAGCCCTGACTGGGGACTCAGACCCTCTCCTGAGAGCCCCCAGGCCTCCCCTCATTCAGAAGGACTTTCTGCAGTGGCCCCCTCGAATGTCTTCCCGAGGTCTTGTGTTCTAAAAGTGCTGAGCCCTCCACAGCGGCTGGTGGATGGAGAAGAAAAGGGGATAACAGGAGGGGGGGACCCTCCAGGCCTGCTGCTCAGGAGGCTCCCCACCCACCGTGGGCACATCACTGTCTCATGGAGACAGCGGCCCTGTGGTTTGCACCCCCTGGTGGCTTGGGAGAAGCTCCTGACCCCGAGGCTCCCTTTCTACCCACACACTTGCTAGGAAGGAACCAGACACATTAGGTGGTTCCACTCTGGCCAGGTAGGAACTGAGGTGGACCCGGTCTGCCTCCCAAACCACCAGTGTGGTCCTGCGGAGGGTTTGGGGACTCCGGTTAGACTTTCCCACCCAGGTGAGACTGACAGACTGAAAACCAGTCCCCATTGGCTGAACCTGGAGGTGTCCATTGTCCCAGAGCCCTTGCCCACTGAGTTTTCTGTGCTGCCCGCTGTCTCCTGGAGAGCAGAGGGGGGAAGGTGAGCTTGCTGTGGTCCTGACCCTGCTCCGGGCCCAGGTCAGCAGGCACAGGCTGAGCACGGGCCCCGGGCACACCCTCCCAGAATGGATTTTTCTTTTCAGTTTCCCTTCTGTGTGAGGACCTGTTTGGGGTTTGGATGTGGATTTTGCTTTCCCTGAACGCGTTAGCATGGCACAGTGCCAGCCGAGGCCTTCATTCATGCCCCAGCCTGGTGAGCACGTCACAGCACCCCTGCCTGATGCCATCCCTTCCCCCGGGGATGTACGGCTGGGTGGGGGACAGACAGGCCAGCCCCACCCAGTGCACTCCCCCGCCACCTGCACCGCCCGTGAGTCCCTGCCTGCTCCCTGAGCAGGTGACTGGGCAGGACCCAGCCCTAAGTACATGCCGCGCTGAGCTCAGGAGTGATCAGAGGACAGGGTCCTGGCCAAGGGGTCATGGAGTGCTGGGCATCCAGGGGGCAGGCACAGCCCACCTTTTCACAAACCCACTGGCCCCACCTTCCCTGACCTTGGCTTAAACCTAAGAGGCCCAGATTTTGCAATTAGCCCAAATCTGCCGGCCCCCAGTGAACCATCCATTGGGCTTGGGGCCATAGCCCCTTCCCTGGGGATACAGCCAGGGCTCTGTGAGACACTAACCTTTGAGAGTCAATTCCCCCAACTGGGTTTGTAACATCTCTTCTCACCCAGTCATTGGAAACAAAGAGAAGAGCTTCTTTTTTTAAAAAAAAAAAAAAAGGATTTGCTTCAGAAACCCCCAAACCAAGAACCAGCCATGCAGAAGACAGCTCTCGAGAGCGCCCTGCCCGATTTTCAGCTTAGGTGACAGAGGCGTCGTCAAACCGCACCAGCCTGGTATTGGAGCTTAGAACTTTTACGTAAGGAACGTGTCTGCGGCCCCCAAACAGACCGGTCCTCAGCCTGGTCTGAACTCGGATGCCGAGAACCAGATGCGCATCCTTCTCTGCATTTTCTCAGACGATCTTTTCGCTGCGTGTCCTAGTGGGGGCCCGACTTCAGAATGGCATATAGGGTCTCCCAGAGCGTTCAGGTGTTAACTTAGGAGCTTCTAAAGCAAGTTCTGAAGAAAGACTAATAGCTGTAAAAATATAAACATATATTATATATAGTTATATATATTTAAAGAGATATCAATATATATACACACAAAATCACTGTCCCCTCTGCATCCGAGCAGGGCGTGATCCAAGCAGCCCGGCAGTGCGTGGTTCCTAATGCATGACTGTAAATACTAGCGATCTGCCTTCTGACCGTGCGCGCGCACGGGAAGCTGGCCCCTGTCCCAGGTCTTTCTCAAAGGACACGTCGGTGCCGATCTGTCCACCGAGGAGCCAATGATGTCGATTCTGTGCTGAGACCGCCCACGAAGCGACCGGCAGCGTTGGGGGGTGGGCTGTAAGTTCCTTACGAGGAAGAAAGCACCATGCCTTTCTTATTTTCAATAAAAATGTACTTATACAGACGGCTGCCGTTGTCAGGTGTGTTGGGGAACTGGCCCTGGGCAGGGGTGGGTGTGATGCTCCCTGGGGACCTGCTGGGAACCCAGGGCTGGGCTGGGTACCTTGTTTCTGTACGGTTTTTATCTACTACCCCAAAGGGGGCATTTATGGGGATTCTGAGGTTCCAAGCCTGTCCTTCATCTCCCCACAAAGCCATCTCTGTCCTTGACTCAACTGAGAAGAGGGTGACCAACTGTCCCAGTTTGCCTGGGACTGGGAGATTTTCCCAAAATGTGAGACTTTCAGTATTAAAGCTGGAAAAGTGCCAAGTAAATGGGACATGCTGGTCACCTTAATTTGACAAGTGCTCATAGGACTCATGGGGGCAAGAATGAGCGGGCCAAGCTGGAGGAGACTAGTTATGCGTGTGCCCATCCCCCGCCCAGACCTCACCCTGCCCTGTGGTCTGCAGCACCCCACCACCTGACCAGCTGCTCAGAGCATCGTGCTGTGTGGCCTGTCCTCTGCCCTCAGCAAAGGGGACCCAAAGAGCTCACCTGCTCCCCGGAGGGAGTAGAATGGGAGCCACCTCCTGGGGCCTCCTTCTCCCCAGCCTCTCCAGAAGCAACACCCCTCCCCAGAGCTTCCTTCGATGGGCCTGGAGGAGTGGAGGAGGAGAAATCAACGGCCCTACAGCGTCATTGTTCCCACCGAGGAGTGAAGACGTATCAGAGAGGGAGTGTGACGGCAGGTCGCATGGGTATCGGGAAGCGGGTGGGGCTGGGTTTGAACCTAATTTGGGTGTCTTTAGCACCCAGCCACTGGACACAATTGAAGGGGACCCCAACCCAACTCCCCATGGCTGGGTGCTGCTGGACCCCGTCACCCCCACCTGGATTCTGCACCCCTTTGATTAGAGCAGGGGAGGCTCCTGGGCAGACCCTGTGTGCCCAGAGCTAGGGGCCAGGTAGATACCAGCCAGAGGATGGTCAGTTCAGTGCAGGGACTTTGGGGGAAGGGCCCGTGTTTCAAGCCTGTGGGGAGGAGCCGTAACAGTCCCCAGGGAGAGCCAGGGGTGCCCCGCCACCACCCGTGAGCTGCCATTTGCCCAAACTTGACACACGTCCTGGCACAAGAAGACACGCAGTGGGTGGCAGCCATCATTGATGTAATTGTCACGTTGTCGTTAATAAAAGGTGCCTGCCATCCTGGTCCTAGTGAGAGCCCCTCTGCCCGCCAGCCACCTGCCTGGTCCTCCCTAGAGGCTGGCGAGGACTCGGCAGGACACCTCTGGCCTTGTACTCGCTCCCGAGCACCCGGCCTGGCCAAACTCAGCTGCAGGTGCCAAGGCCAGCAGGGCCTGGGGCAGGGGTCAGCAGCCCGGCGCAAGGCTCTGCGGACTTGGCAGGCTCCCTGGGACAGCGCCAGGCCCAGCCTGGGACAGGGAGGAGGGGAGGCCAGCAGGCGCTGTCAGCACAGAACGGAGCCGCAGACCCTCCTGGGCACCACGTCCACCTCTGTGCAAATCTGGGGTTTTTGGCCACTGGTTCCAGCTCTGGCAACCAAACCAGCCGACAACATGTGCATGGCTGCCCTGGGACTCAGGCCTGCTCCCTGGGTGCAGGGCACAGTGGAGCCCCTGGGCGACCCTGCATGGCCTCCAGCCGTGTGACCAGCGGGCAGAGGCAGAAAGGCCCTCCTTCGGGGGCAAGCACTGCACTTGGTTCCACCTCGCTGTGGCCTCCCCTTTGGACATGCTCACCGGCCCACCCAGCTAGTGACCCACCCACGGGGCCACCCACCTCCCTTCCAGTCCCATCCCCCACGCGGGCACTAAGCGCCTTTATGCTCTCCCCTCCCTCTTCCAAAATCAGCTCTCAGGGAACCAGCCCAAATCCCTGCTGCATGTTTGACATGTCTCCATGCCTCTCCATCCGGGGACAGTGCTGTCGAGCCAGGGCTCCGGGCTCCAGTGTCTGCCGCAGACCAGGCCCCATCCTATCAAACGTGCAGCGCTCCCAAGTCTGTACCTTCCCCTCCCATCGCCTGCTCATCTCGACTTGACTTCGTCCTATCAGGACACTTGCCTCCCCTTCACCAA